TAAATACAAAAGCCCTCCCCAGGTCTTGTTGACTCTAAACAAGAGGCTTAAGTTAAAAAAGAAAATACAAGACGCTGCACTGCAATCCCAGAGGTATGCGGTTCAAATCCATCAGATGCTCTGCTGGAGAAGGAGGGGGCAATCTCCAGTCAGATCTGATTTGACGGTACACATAAAAATGATACAATAAAGATTAAAAAAAATTTTTTTAAATAAAAAAGAAAATTAAAACTTTTTTTAAAAACCCAATATAGTTATGTTGTTGTTATGTGCCATTTAGTCTCCTGCAACATATAGCAACTGGCTGCTCCTTGGAGGCAAGGATTCTGAAACTTCGTTTGACATTTGGGCATGTTGAAAGGAGGGACCAGTCCTTGGATAGGGACGTCATGCTTGGGAGGGTGGAGGGACAGAGCAGGAGAGGAAGACCCTCAATGAGATAGATTGATTCAGTGTCTAGGGTAATGGGGGTAGGTGTGTCGGAGATGGTGAGATTGGCACAGGAGAGGGCAGAGTTTAGGGCTATTGTACATAGGATCACTATAAGTCGCAGGCGACTCGACGGCACATATAACAACATGTACAGCAGCTCTGAAACCTTCCCTGTCCTGAGCCAGCCCAATTCTGACACACCAATTCTCATCGCCCCAGATACTGTATCAATTCATCTCATCCAAGGTCTTCCTCTCCTGAGCCGTCCCTCTACTGTCTGAGCATGATGTTCTTCTTCTAGGTCTCTCTTGGCCACATGCACCAAAGATGAAGATGAAACTTTTCTTGAGCTGAAACTTCAAAATCTTAGCCTCCAAAGACAGGCTGTGTTTCACCAATTTAAAAGACCAATTTGTTTCTTGGCTGTCCATGGTATGTTCAAGACTTTTCTTCAGCACCAGAACTCGAAGACATCTATATTTCTTCTGTCTTCCTTAGTCATTGTCCAGCTCTCTGAAGCATAACAAGTAATTAAGAAGACCATGGCCTGGATTAGGTATACCTTAGTCTCCAGACTGACACTGTTACTTTTCAGCCGTCTGGAGAGGTCCCTACAACAGATTTCCCCAATACAATTTCCTGACTGCTGGTGTTAAGAGTTGATCGTGGAGCTGAGCAAGCTGTAATTGCTAACGATCTCAATCTCTTCTCCATCTATCACGGTGCTGCTTAATTGGCCCAGTGGTGAGAATCTTTGTCTTCTTGATGTTGTTTCAATTCATATTGAAGACTATAGTCCTTGACTTTTTGCAGCAAGCATTTCAGGTCTTCAGTTTCAGCAAGGTTTTGTCATTTGCATATCGTAGGTTGTTGATGAGTCTTCCTTCAATCTTAATGCCACACTCCTCTTCATAAAGCTCTGCTTCCTGAATGATCTGTTTTGCATACAGATTGTAATGGTATGGGGACAGGATGCATCCCTGACACACTCCTTTCCTGATTTTGAACCATGCAATGTTTCCTTCCTCTGTTCTGAGGATTGTTTCTTGGTCTAAGGAATTTCCATTTTCCTCAAGGTTAGCCACAATTTGTTGTGATCCACACAGCCAAATGCCTTTGCCTAGTCAATGAAACACACAAAGACATTCTTTTGGTACTCTGCTTTCTGCCAAAAACATCTTTCGGGAAAGGATATCTTCAGTCTCAAACCTGCTTCAGGGTTTCAAATTGGTTGGCCTCCTCACAGAGCTAGACAATAAATACGATAGAAGAATCGATGCTTTTGAATTGTGGTGCTGGAGAAGAGTATTGAATATACAATTAACTGCTAAGAGAACATACAGGTCTTTCCTAGAGAGGGTAAAACCAGGCTGCTCCTTGGAAGCAAGGATTTTTAAGCTTGTCTTACATACTTTGGGCATGTTGACAGGAGGGACCAGTCCTTGCAGAGAGATACCATGCTTGGAAGGGTAGAGGGACAGCGCCATGAGAGGAAGACCTTGGATGAGATGGATTGGCTCAGTCACTAAGGTAATGGGAGTAGATGTAGCAGAGAAAATGAAATTGGCTCAAGATAGAGCAGGATTCAGAGCTGTTGTACAGACGGTCTCTGAATCAGAAATGATTCGATGGCACATAACAGCAGTTGATTTGTAAAACAGCTTTTAATGATAGTGACAGCCATTATTTTGCCAGGTTTAGGAATAGGTTCAGGAATACTACTCATTATCAATTCTGACTCATAATATCTGTGTAAGACCGAGTGCAATGGAGTCACATGATCTTTTGTTGTTAGGCGCTGCCAACATTCAAGAGCACCCTTATTTAAAGGCATCAATTCTTCACTCTTCCTATTCGTTGTCAAACTTTCAGATGTATAGGAAGCAACTGAAAATGCAGACACAAGCCATCAAAATTACATCCTTTAAAGGTTATTTATTAATAGTGGACAATGAGTTAGGGATCAAAATCTGTACTTACATTTCCTCAAGGTAGGCTTCGTGGTAAGAAGCTGTGCTGCCAACCAAAAGGTAAGTGATTTGAACCCATCAGCAGCTCATCTGGAGAAAGATGGGCAATCTCCTCCCATGCAATTTATGCCTCAGAAAAGCCACCAAGGAGGGTTAGCTCTGAGTCAGTTCCAGCTCCATGGTACTTAAAACGCTTTTCCCTGTCATTTCTCTGTTCCTGGAGAGAACATTACTTAGTCATCCTATCTCAAGATCTTCTTGGCTTTGTTTCTCAGACCTTCCTTGTTTTTGATGACCTTGATAGTATTATTTGGAAATCTCATGATTAGGCAGGGGTTTATGAGTATTGGAGGAGAACATCACAAGTGCCATTCTACCAATGATACACTAGAACATGACTTAACACTGAGCTGACCATCAGGTGGCTATTATCAAGACTCCCATCCTGCAAACTGACTCTCACATCCTTGCCATATAGTCTTCTGAAGTCACTAAATACAGCCTATAGTTACAGCGTGAAGGTTATGTTCCCCTTCTTTAAGGATGGGTTCTATGAATTCAAGAATACCTTAGCCTTTGGATGACAACTCAAGTCTTATCCAATAAGGCACCATCATTTCCTGTGTGGAGTTTGAGCATATCTTTGATAGGTGGTGATCCAGGAAGAAGGCAGGAAAGGACAAATGGAAACGGGAGTAGAATAGTAGTAGTATTAGTTTGTAGAGGTTGTAACCAATGTCAAAAATGAAAATGTATATATGAATTTTGTATGCAAACCAATAGTAGTATTTTTTTATTAAAGAAAATGTACATAAACTATTGAATGGAAAATGAATTTGCTCTGGAAATTTTCACCAATATAAAAAAATGTTAAAAAAAGAGAAAGCCCAAGAATTATTTAACTTCCTGATAGAATATACAGTTTTAAATAATTAGCTTCGGGAACAGAATTTGCTGTTTTTGTTACTATAGGTGAAGGAGGAAGGGACAACATGAATATTTTAGGCACTTTTTATTTTCAAAAAAAAAAAAAAGGTCGTTAATATATAAACATCTCATTCTCAAAAAATTCTACAACTATACAGCTGTTTGCTCCATTATTTGCATAGGAAATAACCACAATACAAAAATAAGAGGGGAAAAGAAGCAAAACAGCAACCGATTTATGCTTTTTATGTATGTTTCCACGTATAAACATTTGAAGCCTCTTACAAAATTATTTACACCGTTTGTCAACTATGTACACATTTTAAGAGCATCTTTTTCTAACAAACAAAACTATAATTTATCAAGTTATGAAAATTGTTTTCTAAAAAAACTTACTATATTACCACAAAATAAATAAGATAAACAATATTTTAAAAACAAAATTAATTTTCATTTTTCAATTAAGACCTCTTTTGGCATTTTGCTTATTTTTCCTGCCCTTTGGTTAACAGCATCAGCATCACATTACTATTTTATATTGCATATATGTAGCAACTGCTTCCTTAAGTTTTCAACATGTCATTTATATTTAAAGGCAGACACTGAGTCAGTATTAACAATAGATTAACTAAACAGCACTGTAATTTAGGTAAAATTACTGTGTCTCACTGTATATTACATGCAAAATCCACATAAACTGGCATTTAACCAAGAGTACTGCATGAGCAAACACTTCAGTACAAGAAAACTGCATCAGAAATCCAACATTGCCATGTGAAAACATTCTAACTTCTTCCTTTCTAAAAAAATGATACTGCATTTAGCTTATGGTAAGAGGTTTACCTTGTGTACTGTAACGATCTTTCTTAAACTCTTGAGTTCATAATTCATATAAAATGTCCCATATTTAAAATAAACAATCTTAAATCAGTGCATGAAATTTGCTTTTTTAATGATTACTTCCCCCAAAGAAATTATTTTGATAACATTTTGAGAGGTATCGTATCACAAATTCTAACTGTAAATGTATTCATGCTCATTTTCAAATGAATTACTAATAATTTCCCCCAAAATAATCCTAGAAAACTTGTAATAAACCTATAAAAAGCTGATTTGCATATTTACAAAATTTTGAATAGCAAAATATGCAACTCATATTTTTTAAAAAAAAACAACAAAAAACATTTGTTCAATGGCTATTTGTGAATTATCACGTACGTTGGGCACTTCCAAGGAATTACCTAATGAAAAAATACCCCATAAGTCAAGTAAAATCTTGACATTCACTTCACCGTCCTTCCTTCCTGTGCCTGCCAATCGATGTTTACCAAACACTGTCACGTTAACTGATGGTGCTTAGGTCAAAACACTGCACACACCCCTCCGCCCCACCCCCCCACCCGTGTTGAGATGCGGCTGCCTGTCATGAGATGAAGTCTGCTTGAGGAAAGCCACACACATTACAGCAAGCATTCCAGGTTCTTACAATGACCAAACACTTTGGTATTAATACAATGTATTCCCTGTTTTTTTCTCAAATATACAAAATATACATTTCCAGGGTTGGTTTTTCTTATTTTCTTTATAGATAGGAGTTGAGTTCGTAGTTAGACTTTTGCCAGGCTAACTGCATAACATCAGTATGCAATGCGTAGGCATGAAGCACTGAGTGGCAGGGCCCCTCAGTTCTGGTGCCTCTTCATGTGCAGGGCCAGGTGGTCGGAGCGCGAGAAGCTGCGGCTGCACACGCCGCATTGGAAGGGCTTGGCGCCCGTGTGCTTCCTGTAGTGGCGGGTCAGCTCGTCCGACCGCGCGAACCTCCAGTCACAGCCATCCCAGGTGCACTTGTATGGCTTTTCACCTGTGACACAAACAAAGACAGGTGAGGGGCCTGTTCTGGAGAAAGACATCACAAGTACCACCTCAGATGCAATAAAAAGAAAATTAATTGGTGCTCTGATTTTTACACACTATTTTTGCACATATAAATCCATGAAATAGTCAAATATGTTCAGGCAGGTTTGTCACCGCTGTCAAAATACAATTTCTGCATCAACAAAACCTTACCAAATTATTACAGGCTAAGCATGGTGGTTCAAATCCACCAGCTGCTCTGCAGGAGAAAGACAGATAATCTCCTCCCATGCTATTTGCAACCTCTGAAAACTTGTTGGAGGATTAGCTATGAGTCAGTTCTGACTCAGATGGCCAGAGGGAGGAATATAATTGGGAGCTACCTAATAGGGAACTGTTCAAATCCTCAATACCACTGATAACAAAATGCTGCTGCTATTATGTGCCATCCAGTCAGAACCGACGCAGCACAAGTTTTTACCACTAGGCCACCCAAACTCCCTTATAACGGAAGGAATATTTCAAAATGAGGCAGACAGAAGCTATTAACACAACACCCTTTCACTTGAACACACAGCCTCCAAAGTGAATGACACATAAGTTATTGTTTCAAGATTTACACTAATCTTATTAAGACTAGACTAAAATAAGTCAGAAAAATTTTTAAGTGGAATGACTTTCAAATATTATGCTTTAACATTTTCACATATAAATAAAATTAAGATAAACTCAATGGATTAGAAATTCACTACATTAGGTTTACTTTGATAGAGAATAGGAAGCCTGTATTATCTTAAACAGTGTTGTAAAAAAAAAAAAAATTCAAATCCATTCCATAAACAATTTTCCAAACACCTAACAGGTACTGTCCTGATTTTGCTAGATGGGGATGAAGATGTGTCTGCCCTCAAAATGCAGGTCATCTAATTCTATGTTTTCACGTTATAAAATAGTATTTGAGCCCCTCGAAATCTGTATTACTCAATATTTTATCCCAAGTTTTGAGTTTCTTTCAAAAACATATTTATAAACATATTTACTACTTATAATAAGTCTTAATGGAGTTAAGTTAATCATAGGCAATGAGGACCACTGTTCCCGAACAAACCCCAAATCTTTCATGGAGCATTAACTATTAATTCTTGCACTTATGTTTTAATTTTGTTATTATATTCTTTGAATCTGCCTGCGTTTTAGGATGGTGTGAGAATTTGAGAGATAAATTTGTGTATTAAAGTACTGCTGAGTTTTATTTGGACACCTTTTAAAAACTCCAAATAAATTCCTAAACCATATATAAGAGTCTGAAATTTCTCTTTAAATACAGCTTCTCCAGAAAGGAATGAACCTCAGAGTTGCTTTGAACAATTGCTTGTCACTCAGTGCCCCGGTGACACTGAGCCTGCTTCTTGAGTAGTAGTATACTCAGGAAGACTGGAGATTTCTCAAATTGAGTTTAAACTTTAAAAGATACTGTTCCCTTCAACAAAGAGGTCTAACTGTAGCTGATCTAACTGTGTGATTCTGAGAAGTATTCCAAAGCATATATACAAAAAAGGTTAAAACAGAATTTGTTTACCCTTATTGCCATAAGGATTTCACTTTTAATTCCTGCTACATCCTCTTTTTGGTCAGGGGTCAAATTAACCTGCCACTCTAGGAGGGAAAGGTGTGGCAATCTGCTTCTGTAAATATTTACAGCCTTGGAAACCTTGTTGTTGTTGTTATGTGCCATCGAGTCGAGTCGTTTGTGACTCACAGTGACCCTACGTACAAGAGTCCTAAACGCTGTGCCAACCTCGCTGTCTCAAACACATTCGTTCCCACCACTCCACTCACAGAACTGATCCATCTCATCGAGGGTCTTCCTCTCCTGCACCATCCCTCCACTCTCCCAAACATGATGTCCCTCTCCAAGGACCAGTCCCTCCTTGCAACATGCCCAAAGTATGTCAGACGAAGCTTCAGAGTCCTTGACTCCAGAGAGCATTCTGGCTCCACCCTCTCCAGGACAAACCTGTTTGTTCTCCTAGCAGTCCATGGTATATTCAACACTCTTCTCCAGCACCACAACTCAAAGGCATCAATTATCTTTCTATTATCCCTATTCACTGTCCAACTCTCTGATGCATAGCACATAACTGCAAAGACTATAGCCTGGATCAGGTGCACCTTAGTCTCCAACCTGACATCGTTGCACTTCAGTACTCTTGAGAGGTCCCTCACAGCTGACTTTCCCAATGCAATTCGTCTCCTGATTTCCTGGCTGCTGTTACCAAGAGTGTTGACTGTAGAAACCTTAGGGAAGAGTTTTATTCTGACTTAAAAGGTCAGCTCCTAGCTATTATGTGCTGTAGATTTGGAACAACTCAGAACTGACCCTCCAGCAGGTTTTCAGAGGCAGTAAATCGCACAGAGCTGTCTGCTAATCTTTTTCCTGAGGAGCAGCTGGTGGATTCGTACAATGTGACTTAGGCTTGGCAGTGGATCTCCTTACCACTAGACCACCAGAGCTTTGTTGTAGGGTGGCTAGGAGCAACTGAGAGAGTGGCTATGAGTTTGACTACATGTATTTTTTGTGTTTTGGTGTTTTTTTTAATTTGGTCCTTATATGATTTCATCTCAATTCTTTTCATTTCTTTGCAGGTGTGGGGAAGTAAACATTAAGATTTTCAGCCAATATGTTCAAATTTTTCAAGTAATATTAAAAAATAATTCATAGTCACATATCTACTTAGAAGCAAATATTCATTTATATTAATAAATGTAATTGCTCTTGTACGGCATCTATTCAGACTTGACTCAAACTGACCCTCCAGCAGGTTTTAAGAGACAGTAAATCATACTGGAGGAGAATGCTCATTTTCCCCCCATTAAGGAACTGGTGAATTTGAACTGTGTGCCTTTGGGATTTCAACACAATTTACCAACTAATGGCATTAAAACAACCAAAGGGTCTATATGAGTTGGGATCTATTGATGGCAACTAACAGTAAACTTAATTATCAATACTGGGGAGGGGGAAAAAAAATCAAAACTTCTGAACCAAAACTGTTTGGGGTTTTTTCTCCTTGTGAGAAAAAATTCCTTAAAACAATGATGTTAGTTAAATATTTAGCTGTCATTTAATGGAAGGATAAAGTTATCTAAGGAAAGGAAAAGAAATTCCTAAAGTAAAAAAAAAAAACCCCAAAAAAAAAACCCAACCCTAGTGTCCCAATTTTAAAAGAAATCATTCTAGTCTTTCGAACTAAAAGAGAAGGGGAACTGAATGTCAGGGTTTATTTATGAAACAAGGGACACTAGACTCTTTTTGTTCACTATTTTTATTGGCTGTGAAGCAATAAACTGCACCAATATTTTTAAAAGTTTACTTTACTGATTGGTTGAAATACAGTAGCCATTAAACTTCCTAAAACATTTATTTGAATTTTGGTCTCAATTTATGCACATCTATAGATTATTCAGCCAAGAATACTCGCTGTGTCTGAAACTTTAGTTACTGGTGCAAAGTCTTACTATAAAAGCTAGGACGACTGCTTCCCACTTGGGGCAGTTTCTCTGGGATTTGTTCAGGTGTCAACACCGTTCAAGCAAAACATCAGAGAGGAAGTTGGTACCCAATTTTGGGCCAAACAGCAGACTTGAGCCTTTCTTCCTCAGCCAGAAACACTATGCAAAGTACTTCTGGGAAACCAAACTGACTTCCTTCAAGTTATATTTCAACAGGATAGAGCTTTCAAAAGTTTAATTGGATTTTTACAGAACCTCTTTCCAATACCACCAATTTAAAATATTTAGTTAAGCTCTTTCAACATCAACTGTATTTTTAAGTTCTCATGCTGTTAATGTGAAACTTTCCAAAGGCAAAGAGAGAAAAAAAAAGCGACAACTCATACAGCATGAAAAACAAGCTTTGGCTTTATCTCACATAAAGTACATACTCTCTCATTCGACTTTAAAATTAGAAGAATGTTTTGCTAGGAATTCCTATCTGTGGGGAGGGAAACATTCAAGGTAAGCATAGAATCCATACTGATAAAGTCACTGATATAATTTATGGAAATGTTAACGAGTACCATTACCAGGAAAAGGAGGGAGTAGACACAGAATACAGAGTGCCAGCATACTCCAGTACTGGGTACTTATCATTTCACTTAATCCTTACAATAACCCTGTGAGTTAGAAGCAAAATGATGAGCCTCGACATTAAGAATCCTGACCTGCCACTTTTCCTTAATGTCCTACTTAAATCTTCCATTAGCAAACACTAATACAATCTTCTCTGAATGATTTAAAGGAACACATAGTGTTCAAATTTATTTAAAGATTGTAAAGCTTCTTCTGAAGGTCAGCTAAAGAATAGCTTAGTGAGCCAACAGCAGACAGCACACAGGTCAGAGCCAGGCAGAGCCAGCCCTCTGTGGAAGACCCTCCTTTCAGGGCTTACGGGTCCCCCAAAACTGCTGAGCACTGGTACTGAGTGAGAGTTACCAAGCAAAAATTACTGATAGCACCTCTTTCCTTCAGGCTAAGAAAATGTCAAGGGGTTTGCAATGCCTTTGAAAAATTTTCAAACTAAAATAATAATTAAAAAAAACAATAACAAAAAAACCAACTCAACACTTTTCCCTCTGATGAACAGATTAAAAAAAAAGTTTGAACCCAATCACAATGGAATGGAGGTTTCTCTGCTCTACTGAACATATTCAATGGACTCCTACCACGGCCTTTTCCTAGAAATGTTCTACACAGATTCTTCTCACAAAGAAAAAAAAAAGGTACAAAAAAGCAAGATGGAAAGAATTCTGAGTGGTTTTAGGTGACTTTTGAAAAAAGCTTAGTCTGACAAATTTATACCTTGTTCTTGATGTCTAGAAGACAATCAATTCTATCAGACCCAAATGTAAATGGCTAAAGACCCTCACAAGTCAAGCTAACATGCAGTAAACAAATGAGCTCATGACCTGGACGAAGGTGCAAGGAAAACTGAACAAATGAGACTTG